AATCCTGGCTCCGCCTCTGGTTATTTGAACTCTAGTAGCTTGTCATAAGCTCATTGCCTTAGCATAGTATTGTAGACACGTTCTCCTTGTAATTTGAGTGCAATATGGGTCCCTTTTGGCTTTACCTTTGCGGAAATACTATAAATTGTTCGTGTTGTGGATTATTGGTGCTTGTCTTCTTTAGTATATTACATCATTTCAAATGTTGTCAGTGTCGCTTTTCCCTGTCAACTTTTGTTAAGTTTATAAGATCAACTCTTTTTGCATGTAGTATTCAATCTTCAATTTGTTACTATTATCTCATTTGCATAGTTATTCCGACCATGCAGATATATGGGGACCCAGAGGCTGCAGATATTGTATTTACTTCAGGGGCAAATATTGACGTTGTAGGCATCAACATTACAACACAAGTCAAATTGACAGGTGGGTTGTTCACGTCTCAAATATGTCGAAGGCTTCTACTTTTTGCACCTTTAATTGTATAACGATATTGTTCACTTCTCAATAAATAGTATGTTTCCCTGGTTTTAGATGCTGATCTTGAAGAACTAAGGCAATCTGAAGGAAAACATGCTAAATTTTTATGCAACATGTGCAAATTCTACCGTGATTGGCATGTGAAATCAGACGGTGTCTATGGTGATAACTTCTGTTCTTCTATCGTTTGTGGATGACCTACATTGCTTCTTAAACCGCTTTACTGATAATTATTTGCTCGTCCTCTTTTCAGGAATTTTCCTACATGATCCTGTTAGTTTCGTGGCACTAGTTCGACCTGAACTCTTCACGTTCAAGAAAGGTGTCGTGAGGGTTGAAACACAGGGCATTTGCGTCGGGCATACCTTGATGGACCAAGGGCTAAAAAAGTAAGTATTTGAACTGATTTTTCTTCGGGAAAGTTACACATTCGGCCACTCGACCAAAAATATTTACATTTGCTAGCCAGTAGACATAAATTACACCTAGGGGCGAAGGTAATATAGTAGCTACGGTTTCGGACGAACCCAGTAGCTTTTACTTAAACTTGTGTTTGTATTAGAAAATCCATTAAATATATAAAGATATTTAACGGAGAATCCAGTAACTAAAACGAGCTAGGGTTCGATGACAAGAGCAGAACCCATAACCTTCAAATCATGGCTCCGCTTCAAATCAGGGCGGTTATACAGTGTAAAATTCTCTTTTTCTCTTTGCAAATCTTAGCCTCTGGCTTCATTCTATGGATTAAAACTAACAAGTCGTTATATTAGGTGGAATACGAGCAACCCTTGGACGGATTATTCTCCGGTTTCAGTTGCATGGACAGTTGATGTAGATGAAGTTCTGAATTATATAAAGAAAATGCTAATGAAATCTTGAATTCCATTGGATCTCTCGGATCTCTGCCTCGCATAAATCTTACTTTGGAAATCAATCGAGGAACGCGTTTTCTAACAACTTCCATTACAGCAATTGTTTTTACTCTTCTTTCCCTCCCTCCCTTGAAACTAAATAAATCCCAGTTCTGGGAAATGTAAAGGGCTTATAAATGGAGGGTGGGCAATGCATTTTCATCATTCTTTTCAGGTCTGTATTACTATATTTTCGCCTCGTCTTATTGCTGCAATGGCTAATTCATAGTAAATAGTCATGTCTGTATACTGTTTTTAAGATTTGTGGGGTCACCTTACAACTGTTTTTCACTATCCAAAGGTGTCGTTATTCATAAAATACATCGGTATACTTATAAGCCACGAGTTTGAGCCATTGAAGCAACCACTAATGCTTGCATAGGGTAGGCTGTCTACGTCACACCCCTTAGGGTGCGATCTTAACTCAAATCCTGTGTGAATACGGGATGCTTTGTGCACCGGGCTGCCTACTTGAAGGGGAAGCTTGTAGCAACGATAAAGCTATTTCTGTGTGACTTATAGGTCACGAGTTTGAGCCGTTGAAGCAGCTTAATGCTTGCATATGGTAAGTTGACTACATCACACCCCTAAGGGTGTGATCTTTCCCCAGATCCTGCGTGAATACGGGAAGCTTTGTGCACCGGGCTGCCTACTTGAAGGGGAAGCTTGTAGCAACGATAAAGTTATTTCTTTGTGACTTATAGGTCACGAGTTTGAGCCATTGAATCAGCCACTAATGCATGCATATGGTAGGTTGTCTACATCACACCCCTTAGGGTGCGATTTTACCCCAGATCCTGCGTGAATAAGGGATGCTTTATGCGCCGGCTGCCTACTTGAAGGGGAAGCTTGTAGCAATGGTAAAGTTGTTTCTTTGTGACTTATAGGTCACGAGTTTGAGCCGTTGAAGTAGCCATTAATGCTTGCATATGGTAGGCTGTCTACATCAAACCCCTTAAGGTGCGATCTTTCCCCAAATCCTGTGTGAATACGGGATGCTTTGTGCACCGGGTTGCCTACTTGAAGGGGAAGCTTGTAGCAACAGTGAAGTTGTTTCTGTGTGACTTATAGGTCACGAGTTTGAGCCGTTGAAGCAACCACTAATGCTTGCATAGGGTAGGTTATCTACATCACACCCCTTAGGGTGCGATCTTTCGTCAGATCGTGCGTGAGCACGGGATGCTTTATGCACCGGCCTGCCTACTTGAAGGGAAAGCTTGTAGCAGCGGTAAAGCTGTTTCTGTGTGACTTATAGGTCACGAGTTTGAGCCGTTGAAGCAACCACTAATGCTTGCATAGGGTAGGCTGTCTACATCACACCTCTTAGGGTGCGATCTTTCCCCAGATCCTGCGTGAATACGGGATGCTTTATGCACCGGCCTGCCTACTTGAAGGGGAAGCTTGTAGCAATGGTAAAGTTATTTCTTTGTGACTTATAGGTCCCGAGTTTGAGCCGTCGAAGCAACTACTAATGCTTGCATATGGTAGGTTGTCTATATCACGCCCTTTAGGATGTGATCTTTTCCTAGCGTGAATACGGGATGCTTTGTGCGTCGCGCTGCTTTATTATTTATTTATTACATCGGTATACTTTAAATGATGTACCTAAGTCATCTCTCTAGAGTAACTCATGTTTGTAACACCGAATCAGTCCTAAAGCAAATGAAAGTGATTGATTTGATGCTCTTCAGATACTAAATAATGGAAATCCAAGAACGAAGGCTTAAATCAATTTAGCCCCTTAAAAAATTATTCAGTTCTACACATTTAATCCTTTTTTATATGATTAACAAAAAAGAGTCGAGGCTAATAAGGTATAATGTAATTAGTCTAAGGGTTCGTTTGGTTTGAAAACAAGTTATGTTGGATTAGTTATAGTGGGATTAATTATGTTGGGATTAGTTATCCTAGTATTATTATTGACTGCTTGGTGTGTTGTATTAATCCTGATTTTGTCAATTTTATTGTTTTATCCTGGGAAAACGTATTCTAGGATTACTATTCCACCCTCTGTTAGGTATAAGTTATTCCTGTACTATTTTATCCCGAGATAATTTATCCCGGGATTACTATTTCATACTCTGGCTGGTATAACTTATTCTGGTACTATTTTATCCCGGGATAACTTATCCCACGCTTAATAATCAAACAAAAGACAAGGCAGTACTAAATTTTTATCCCAAGATTATTTTTGTTTATATATCAAACCAAACGACCCCTAACAATATTATTAATTACCGAAAGGTTTTCGTCCTGTATACGCATTCACAACAATTAGCTTAAACATGCATGTTGAGTGTGACAAATCTAAATGTTGGTATAATTGTATCTGAAAGTAGCTTTAAAGAAACAAACTTATTTTATTATTTTATTCAATCAGACAAATTAATTAAAAGCCCTCATTATCCAGTACAATTTCTTTTATTTTCGGATCATTTTTTCATAATTAGCAAATGTAAATAAATTTTGGATCACAATAAAATGCAAATACGTTAGAGTTTTTTTTGGGTTGAATAACAGTAAAAAGTTTTAGTGAAAGTATGAAATTTTCATTGAATTTGGAAAAGTAAAAATTAAACAAAAGGGAAGACTTATTGGTGTATACAAGTTACCTTTTATATTTTCCATGTTCGCCTCCGTCGGAATTGGGATTATTTACGTGCAAACTTAAATTTTATTTTCCATTTAATAAGCAAAATTTCAGGAGAGTTGCATATTACTCTACTAATTTTCAATAACTAAAACATCCAAGCAACAATAAATTATTGAGAAACGTATCTTTTTAATCTCTCTAAAAAATAATAGCTAAAAAATATAAATTTATTGGATATATTTGTGTTATCTAAATATAATATACTTATCTTATTCATATGTATTGGTCAAGTGGACGTTTTTTTTTTTTTTTTTTGGGTGTGTTTGGCTCCAGCTGGTGAATGGTATCCGTTGAGGCTTCGATTAATCCGAATTTTATATGTAAAAAAAAAAAAAGGTTTATGTGTAAAGTAATCAGAATGACACGGTCAAGCTACTTGCGTCTGTCTAGTCTGATCGGCGATCGTTTAGCCGCTCTTTCTAAGAGACGGGAATGTAATTAAATAGAAAACATCCCCTCGGAAAGCCACCGCGCATGGCCAATTTTAGGGAAAAGTAGTTCCGACCAGAATTTTTTTCATCTAGAACTCAAACCGGAAACATCTAATTAAGGGCGAAAGATCCTATTTATCCCACCACAGCTCTTAGTGATACTTATGGACATGATCAAAGTTACCTACTTATACGTAGTTATTATCATGAATATACTCAATTTTCACACTACCCTAATTTTAAGGAGCTCAAATTTTCCTTCTACACTAATGATAACACTCTTTCACTTGTTTCTTGAATAAAAGTAAAGAAAAAAGAAGAAATGGAAAAATAAGAAAGAGACAAATCAAAACTATAATATTTTTTTGTTTGTTTTAGCTTTGTTTAGTTTAATTTGATAAGGACTTGAAATTGTAGCTTATATTGAAAAAAGCAGTTGAACAAACTTTCCCTCTAATCTTATTTCATTTCAATTTCTTCCTTTGATAGTTACCTATCAACTCCCCCTTGAAGTAACCCTTGCAACTTCCCTTCTTTCAACATAACCACTCCAACTACAACTAAAAGCAATTCCTCTCCTAATCCTCTTACAAATTCCTATAAATACCCTAAAAAAACATCTCCATAAAAAAAAAATATTAATCTTGCAGTCAGCTAGCAACAATAACAACAAACTCAGCGAATTTCCACAAGTGAAGTACTGCAGTTAGCTAGCCATGTCTCAATTTAATTCGTCGATAGCGTTAGCCGAGAAAGTTTCATGGTATTGTGGCTTGTTCTTGGCAATAATGTTGGTATTGAGCTGGTTTGATCAATACAATGAGAGTGAATTCATAGTTCAAATGCAACAACATATGATGGTTAGGGAGAAAATGCCATGTGATGAAATTTATGTGGTAAGAGAAGGAGAAACTTTGCAAACAATTAGTGAAAAATGTGGAGATCCTTTTATTGTTGAAGAGAATCCACATATTCATGATCCTGATGATGTTTACCCTGGTTTGGTTATCAAGATTACTCCTTTCAAGAATAATAGGTAGAAAGTTGTAAATTCTATTGTTATATATTCTTTTTTTTTCTTTACCTCTTTGGTATCCAGAACCTACTGACTTGATTAATCCAGACTCACGTCGCGTAGGACGTACACCAAAGGAGGAAGCACTGGCTTCCAAAAATTTCTCCCTTCTCTGGGCTAGAATCCGAGACCTCCGATGCTATTTATTGAAATATACTTTGATTTGCATATGAGCTTGTAATTTAATTTCTTGTTCATGAGTTTCCAAGAAATTTTACTCATATTGTTCAGCTGTAAGAACAATAAATATGGACAAATCTCTATATTTTCTTTTTGTATCTTTGTTTGATGTTATGAGAGAGTGAGAATCAAAACTCAAATGCAAGAAGAGGTCTTCCATAAGCCCATAACTAAAGCTACAGTAGAAGCTAAGAAGACTAGTAGTAGTCTTGTATATATTGTTGATTAAGTGATTTAAGAAAAAGTGAATTTATTTGAAAACATAAGTAATAGTTCATAAAGTTTACCTAGTTATTATACGTAGTAGTAGCAGAAAATAAAAGTATAAAATGAAGGAGCTGAACTTTGCTTATAATAAGAAGGAGAAGGAAAATGGCAGGTGACTACTTTGAAGGTAATTGAAGACAAGTTGTATTCATTGATCTAGACTTTCTTATGAATAGCTTGTTTGGTCGTGTTTTTTTTTTTTTTGGCCAAAAGTATTTTTTTTGGGTGAAAAATATTTTTTTTTTCAAAGTTAAGGTGTTTGGCTAAGCTTTTAGAAGAAAAAAAAAATATTTTTGAATAGACATAGAAGCAGTTTTTGAGAAGTAGAAAAAAGTAGTTTATTCCAAAAATCACTTTTTTGAAAAGTACTTTTGAGACGTTTAGAAGTAGTTTTTAAAAATATGACCAAATATTAATTGTTGCTCAAAAATATTTTTTAAATTGATTAGCTAAATACAAACTATTCTCACTAAAAATACTTTGTTAAAAAACACTTTAAAAAAATAAAAAAAAGCTAATTTTAGAAACACGGTCAAGCATGCTAGAAGGTAATGACCTCCCTTTAGAGTGGTTAAATACGTCTAATCACCAATACTGACGCACGCAAAATTTTATGGGGCGAAGTGCCCAAACAACCATTCTTAAGGTTGGTATTTAGGGATTAGCCGATAATTATTTTGTCCTGAAATATTGAGTTAAAAATTTTAATTTTAGGACAATTCAAGATATTTGTGTCTCCAAAAGTTAAAATGAAAAAAGGAAATTCTTTTTTACAAAAATGACACTATATAGCCGCTCTCAAAATAATAGCCGAAAAATATTTTTATATTTATACACACATTTTGTATGTTATATACAAAAAATATATAAATTTTATATACTTTTTTTACTATTAAATATAAATAATTTCTAGAGCGAGTTAAAAGTAAAAAAAAAAGCCCATTCTACGCTAGCAATGTCAAAGATGGGGTTGTCGCCTGTCGTCAAAATAGCACGGTATAGCCAGTTTACGGACTGGTCATTCAAAAATAGCTAGCGTTTACCAAGACAATGAAAAATAGTCACTATTTTGCTGCAACAGAGACCGGTCCAGCATAATATACTGGAGTTCGGTGTACCTTTGTATGAACTCCAGCATATTATGCTGCACCGGTATACTTTGCTGGCTTTAGTATAATATACTGGAGACTAGAGCACCGGTGCTCCAAACTCCAGTATATTATGCTGGACCGGTATACTTGCTGGAACTCCAGTATATTATGCTGGAGTTCTAGTGTACTTATGCTGGAACTCCATCATATTATGCTGGAGCATACTTATCCTGAAACTCCAGTATAATATGTTGGAGTTCAAGTATACTTATGCTGGAACTCCAGCATAATATACTGGCGTATTTTTCGGGTTTTGAACAATGTTTTCGCTCAAATTTATCTTTACATGAAAAGTGGCTAAATTTCGATTACTTTTGAAACTGGGCTATTTTTAAATGACCAGTTGTAAATATGGCTATTTTTGAATTTCACCCTCGCCTGTCGGGGCATTTGCATCTATACTCGCTTTTTGTGCCATATTTTAACCTGTGCCCGCTTTGCAAAAAAATTGCAAGCGTACCCACTTTTTCACATAACTTCAGCACACGGGGCTGAAGTAGCAAAGGCAATTACATAAAACTTCAGCATTTTAGTAGTCGGGCCTGAAGTTCAGCTCTAGAGCTGAAGTTTTTTTTTTTTAACTCGCGAACTTCAGCTGTAGAGCTGAAGTTTGCCAGTTATAAAATAAAAACTTCAGCTCTAGAGCTGAAGTTTGTATAAAATAAAAACTAGAGCTGAAGTTTTTGTTTAGTAACCTGAAAATTTCAGTTCTAGAGCTGAAGTTTGCCAGTTATAAAATAAAAACTTCAGCTCTAGAGCTGAAGTTTTTATTTTATAACTAGCAAACTTCAGCTCTAAAGCTGAAGTTTCCCCGTTATAAAGAGAAGCTGAAGTTTTTTAAAAAATGGGTCCGGATGCAAATAAAAAGATAAAGCGGCTACAGGTTAAAAAGGGGCGCCCAAATAGAGCGCCCCGTGCAATTTTTACTCGCCTGTCGTACCGGCTAGTTGGACTCTTGGTGGGCCTAACCCAAGCGAATTTTGGCCACTATAACACCTCAAATGCTTGGTGATCTTTGGCAATAATTTCTTATTGGTGATCTTTTTTAAATTCTTTACTTCGAAAAAGGTATACAAAATTCTCCTTCAATTTTGTGTTCATGATTAGGATTGCATCTTTAAATTTTCCAACAGAAGGAATGTTGTATGGGACAACTATTAAAAAAACTGAAATTAGTTACGAACTTTATCGCTAATCTATCGTTAAATCGCTCGTAGTTAATAATTTTTTTTTATTATCTTTTTGTTAATCCGTTGCTAAGTAGAATTACGATGAATTTTACTGTTTAGCTACATAATTTGTCTGTCGTTAATTTCTATATTTAAGTAGTTCGAGGGAAGATCAATTTTTCTGATTGTGGATGACAGGTTTCTTGACCTGTAAATTTTTGAAAAAGGCCTAAGGGAGATTCCAAAAAGAGCGAATCATATATATATATATATATATATATATTTGCTAGTGCAGAAACATGGAAGTAAAAGTAGGAATGTGGAATTCCTTATTATATGCCAAAAAATAGATCATCACTAATATTCTTTAAAAGTATCCTTTTACAAGATTTCTTGCTTCATTAATCCTTCGATATCAAAGTCAAATTAATTTTAATTATCGTTTGAGTTTAATTTCTTACTTATAGACATAAGATCATTGAGCATAAATTACGTATGTGAAATTTCTAGCACAACATTATTCAAGAGCATCACTTTTTTCAACTTACAAAAAATTATTTTTTGGGGTTGGTTCAAGAGACTTTTTGATATGATATATTGATATTCATAAATATACATAAATTAAGCCATAGAATAACTTTCCATTTTATATAAAAAAAAGTACCCGGAGAGTGCCTTTACAATCCATAGTATTTTATATAATGTGCAACTCTCAAAATAATTTATAAAAAAGAGTTATGGGAGACCAACATTCAAATTTCAACAGAAATAAAAGATGAGGTATGCGATTTGTTCACTTTTGTTTAAGCCATAATGGGTGCAATGCAAGTTGATCCCGGCATTTCCGTAACTTTTTTATAAATGTATATTTTAGCCGCTCCAAAAAATAATAATCGATAAATTATATATTTTTGGTACATCGTGTATTATATACAATATAATTTATATTTTATATATTTTTATTTAGCAAATGAAATTAGTTTCGACCAATCGATCAATTTTGTATTTTGCCTTAAAAAAAATTTAAAATAAAAAAGAAGAAGAAGAGAAAACTCCCTATATAATCTATCGAAAACAATCTGTCTACCTTCGTAATGTAGGGGTAAAATCTAGTTACACGCTATCCTCCTCGGATGTCATATGTGAGAATACACTGTGTATATTGTTATTGTAAAACACCACAACATAAGTAAATATTTAAAAAAAACTTGTAGAAAAGAATATATCCCATCTTTTGCAATATGGTTATTTTCTTAAAGGATACCACCAATTGGAATAGGAAATTATAATAAATTGGGACCCCTTAACTTCCAATGCACTTGTGGCACTAACCAAATGGTGTTGAATTTATTTGGTAAAGGTCGAATGACCAATCAATGTCCCCCTCCTATTCTTTTTTCATGTAAGTATATAAATAGCTTTAGTATTAGTAGAATAGAAACTCCTCTCCCTATTAAGCCATGAAGTTCTCACAGTTCTTCCTTTTCTCCTTTTTCATCACAGGTATGCATTATTTTTACTTCACATTTCTGCTGAAATTCTGTCACCTTTATTCATTAATTAACTTCCCTTAGGGTATGTTTGGTTTGAAGTAAAAATAATTTCCAAAAATTCATTTTTTTGGCAAACATAGACGGAGTTTTAATTTAATGTTTATGAGTTTAAGATTCTAATCTTTTTATGTTACTGGCTGAACCAGTAACCAATACACTTGCTCTGCTACAAACTCAAAAATGACTCTCTTCGCTAATGTTTTTTCCGACCGTTTGAAATAGTTTCTAAACTAGCGTTTGGATATAGATTTGATTGAAACTTAAAAAAAATAGTTTTTTGAAGTTGTGTTAAAAAATAATTTTTGAAAGTTGAAATTGTGTTTAGGCATGCATTTTATTTGAAGAAAATTTGAAGTTTTGTAAGTGGAAGAATTTCTTTTACCAAAAACTGCTATAAATCAGTTTTTGGGAACTTAAAAATTTTTGAATTTTTTTTTCAAAACATGATCATAATTCATGAATAAACAATATTTTCAAATTTATTTTAAAAAAATGAAGCCATGAACAAATGAGAGCTAAATTTTAAATAATATTATTGGATAGTGAGATAAAGTTTCGTCTGAAAATTATTTCCTTCGAAAAAATATTTTCCTTCGTACCAAGCACACCCTTATAATTAGTTCATGTTGTATTAGTCTAACAAGTGATTTTCTATAAATTTTACAGGTATTTTATTGAGTATTCAAGTTCAAGGTTCAATTCATCAGCACCATAATCATCATCACCATAGCCATAACCAGCAGCAAAGTGCCATTAATGAGCAAAAGAAGCATCAAATAAATGGGTTTAAGCCAACAAAGATGTTTGTATTTGGAGATTCATATGCAGATACAGGGAATAATAGGAAATCTGTGGCTAATTCTTGGAAACAACCTTATGGTGTCACTTTCCCCGGCAAGCCGTCCGGCAGGTTTTCCGATGGCCGTGTCCTCACTGATTACCTTGGTATATATTATTTCATCTATTCTATTTTATATTACTCTTTCCGTTTCATTTTATGTGATATGGTTCAAAAATTAATTTAATTTAAACTTGTTTTTATATTTTTGGAATTATTTACATAAATAGTCGAACCAGATTTAACATATGCATTTTTTAATTAATATACACAGATTATATTAGATTATACACATATTATTCATGAATTATATATTCGCCGATTATTTTTAATTTAAATTATTACATAAACGACTATTTAAGTTAATTATTCTATATTATTTGTGCAGCTATAAAAGTGTGTTGTTAATGATAAAAATTTAATTAATGATAAAAGGTAAATATTGAAATATGTCATATTTTAAAAAACATATTAAAAAGGAAAAAGTATGTCGCATAAATTAAAATAACAAAAAAATACTTAATTAGTACAACGTACTAGTGAAGAGTTTTTAACTACTTATTTTAAAATTTTCATATCAATCAAATATTTATATTTTATTTATGTTTTTTTTTAATCGAGGGTCTATTAAAAATAGCTTTTTTATTTGTATAAGATAAGAGTAAGATCTGTGTATTTATTATTTTTATTATATCCTGCTCGTAGAATTATACCGAAAATTTGTTATTATTCTTTTAATCAAATATCTGTATTTTACTTTGTTTCTTGTGTGCTGTAGTCCCAGCCTAGCAGCTTTTTTGTTTCTTCCCATGCTATTCTTTTCATCATTATGTTCACTTTATCTTTTGTGTTTATATAAACAATTAATTTTTGTGTTTTCTGTTCTTCTCTTTTTTCATAGTGGGTTGCTAATTACCAATGACTTAAATTTTTTCTTTTTTGTTTTGCTTTTCTGCACTGGGGCTGGACATCTTTGCATTATTCATACTTTTGTTTCTTTTTCTCTTTTTCTTCATCATCTTGTCAGACCACCACATTCCTATCTTTTTCTTTCTTGATCCCATAATTACTTCATTACTTTTCTCTCAATAATAAATAAAAATAATTCTAGTACGTACTTATCTGTCTGAAGGGGAGCTTTTGGACCAACAATAAAGTTATCTCCATATGATCCATAGATCACGAGTTCGAGTCGTAAAATCAATTATTAGTGGTTGCATCAGGCTAGACTGACCTACATTATACACCCTTAGAGGGTGGCCCTGCGTGAAAACGGAATACTTCGTGCGACTGCTTTTTTTTTTTAAGTAATTATATTTCACTAATTAATAAGTAAAAATGACATCGTGTAGCCACTTTAAAAGGCTGCTATTTAGGAATTAGCAAGTGCGTCCTGAATTTCAATATCATGATTTGTCCTGAAGTTAAGATTTTTGATTTAAAATTTTAGGACAAAATAAATACCGGCTAATCTTTATATAGCATTCCTGAGTTGGTTATCCGTGCACTTGTCCCAATAAATAAACGTGTGGCTTTATAATTGAAAGTGCGACATTATGAAAGAATTAGTGCTAAACTAAATTTCTTTTGGTTCTATCATCATAACTAGTGGTCACTCGTAACTTGTTCATTGCACTTTGTTAGCCCACTTCTATGATTATTCTACCAACTCATCATGCCTAACTCTTGAGTTAGACTATACGGTGTCGTTTAGCATGCGGATAAAAAAAGACAGTCCGGTGCACTAAGCTCCCACTATGTGCGGGGTTCGGAGAAGGGCCTGAGCACAAGAGTCTATTGTACGCAACTTTACCTTGCGTTTCTGCAAGAGACTGTTTACACGGTTCGAACTCGTAATCTCCTGGTCACATGACAACAACTTTACTAGAATAAGGATACTAATTCCGATATAAAATTTAAAATTATATTTATCACATGTTTGACTATAGGTATTAGCTAATACTAAAATAAATTTTATATCAAAATCTTGGTATTAGCTATCACATACTATAAGTTATCGAAATTATAATTTCTGGATATCCCTACTCTGAACCAAACGACCCTAAGACTTTAAAATTTTCTCAGCCAAAATTTCCTCTATCATTTAGAAGAAAAAAAAATCATTTGAATTTACGTGCGCTCTGTAACGGTTCCACTTGCGCTTTTTGTATATCTGACCATTTTAAATGATTTTACTTAATAATATACATTGATACTGTACGTATAATTTAACCTATTATAGCAGTTGGCCAATCTTATTATAGAAACCTAGTTTTATATATATGATGATTACAGTAGCGGAGGCAGGATTTTCGTTACGAGGATTCAAAAAGGAAAAAGTAAGAGAAATTGTAGCTAGTGGAAATTTGACCAATGACCTTATAAAGGTTTTGAACCGACCACTAAACTATGCTTTTGGGATGTGTCAAGGGGATTCAAAATATAATATATAGAGGTAAAAAACAGATTTTGCTTTATATATACAGTGTAATTTTTCGGCGAAGGGTGTTCGAGTGGACCCCCTTCCGCCCCCCTAAATCCGCCCCTGATCATGAATAGTTACCGTTATTATCATTTAGGCGAAATACATAAACGGCCACTTCAAGTTGTCTTCAACGGTCAGCCAGACACCTCAACTGAACCTTTTATCATTTAAACACTTCAAGTGGCTATTAACTGTATCAAATAGACACCTCATAGTGACATGGCAAGTTACGTGCATTTTAGTTACAGTTGAGCGCGTGAGGCTTTTATCAGACTTATTTTCTCTTATTTTTAGAATTAAGTTAAATTTTATGCCTGGGTCCCACACCACATTATCATTTTTGCCCACACCTTTGAACGATCAAACTAGTGTTTTTTCACCCAAATTTCATATGAAGCTTCCTCACCCCAACATCATTATCTCCACCACCTTAAACCACCATCTATATTTCAACCTGGATGCAAAAACTATAAAAAGAAAAAAAAAAAACAGAAGCTCGAATCGAGAAGGTTTCGTCAATAGTGGTATAACTCCTGTGTATTCATTATCTCAAATCTGCCAGAGTTCATCGCCGGCGGACTGTTTATACTAGCTGCTATTGCTAGTCGAAAATGGAGCCTTGCCGGCGAATACGGCTGGTCACTTATTGTTGCTCTGTTTTTTCTATACCTTCTCTCTCCGCTTCTACTAACACCTAAAATAAATTGAGTTGGTCAGCTGATAAAGAGGCGAAATTAGAAGAGTGGTTGGGAGAATAAGAAATTTGTGAAGTCCCATTTTCTTTTCTTTGTGGCTGTTGCTTTATTACATATAAATCGTTAATTATTGGAGTATTTTCTGTCCTACAATGGCGTTGGCTCTACTAAATCAGGGACGAGAGAGAGATAGGAGGTGAGAGGGAGATGGGGCGGAAGGAAGAAGAAGAAGAATAGGGTTGGGCGTTGGGAAAGGTGCTGGTGTGCTAAAAATTTAAAAAGGTTTTTTTTTCTTTAATGTATTTCTTTGTTAATAACAAATATCAATTTTTTTAATTATAAATTACACGTGTCATTGTTTAATTAGTTCGTTTGACACGTCATTGGCAAGTGTAACTCACGCATCTGGTCTGCTGCACTCGGTTGTCTATTTGGTTCAGTTAATAGCCACTTGAAGTGTTTAAATGATAAAAGGGTCAGTTGAGGTGTCTGGTTGACCGTTGAGGACAACTTGAAGGGGCCGTTTATATATTTCGCCTATCATTTAAGTGACCTGTTTGTGTATAGAAATTAAACTCTGAATTAATTATAAAGATAAAGTTTTAATTAATCTTTTAGCTTTTTTTATGTGCATTACTGATTTAATTAACTTGTGTAAACAGCAAAATTCTTGGGAGTGAAGTCACCAGTACCGTACAGATGGATGAAATATGCAACAAATCGATTAAGTTATGGGGTAAATTTTGCATATGGAGGAACTGGTGTATTTGATACTTTAGTTCCAGAGCCAAATATGACAACACAAATCGATTTTTTCCAAAAATTGATGGCTAATTCAGTCTATACGAAGGCAGATGTGCAGTCTTCATTGTTCTTGCTTTCTCTTGCTGGAAATGATTATGGTGCTTTCCTTGCTAATGGTGGTACTCCTCAGGTATTTAATATTATTCATTACATAGTTAATAAATAGTAAATAAATTTAATGTGCATGCACGGAATATAAAAATGACATTGTATAGGCGCTCTCGAAAATAATAGTCAATATATATATATATATATATATATATATATATATATATATATATATATATATATATATATATACATTTATGTATATTATATACAAAAAATATATATATTTTATACACTTTTACAGCTGCTGGATGTAAATAGTTTCATGTGTGCGCTAAAAGTGATCTTTGCCCTAGAATATACCAATTTAGTGTGCCAATCCACTAGCTCCTAGTAGTGTGCTATCAACACTAGTACTCCCTTTGTTCCAGTTTATGTGAACCTATTTCCTTTTTGGTCCATTCCAAAAAGAATAACCCCTTTCTAAATTTGGTAATAATTTAGCTTAAACTTATAATTCTACCCTTAATGAGAAACTTTTATAACCACACAAATACTCTGGCCCCCTTTTTGATTTGTTTAGGACGACAAATTCCAAATGTTTATTTTTTCTTAAACTTCGTGCCCAGTCAAACAGGTTCACATAAATTGAAACGGAGGGAATACTATTTATTTAAGTTTATTGAGTGTGAACAAGTGTACTACGTATTTGTTTTCTTTTAAACATTAATCTTCTTTTTTTAAGATTTGAAAAAAAAAAAAAGTTTATGCTTTGTCTCACTTGTAAAATAAATTATACGTTATCATCAAGTTGACTAAGACTTTGAAATATTAATAATAGTAGTAGAAAACCCTTCTTTCTGCGGTAAGTTCTATAGATTAATAGTGTATAAAATATTTAAACAATCAGATCATTTATGATAAATATTATTCGAAGTAATAGTGATTCCTATATATGAAATGGCTACATCATACCAGAGAAAACCCAATGATGGAGAGTGGAGACCATAAGGCAAACTTTGGATCCCTCAAGGATTTGGCTTCTTTCATCATTAAAAATTAAAAATTAAAAATCATACAGGAGGATGACTGTAGATTTTGGTCCCACCTTAGAAGCGGTACGTACTGCTTTGGCATGGACTGGTAAAACACGAGATACGTAGAATTGCTATTTTCGATAGATCATCGGTTCACTAAAATTATAGTCACATATTATTAAAAAGAAATACAGTAATGAAAACAAAGTAATAAACAGAAGAAGTAACAATAACAAGATAATAAGATAATTGAAGTAAAAGAAACAATCAATAGCACTAGAAATCTAAGTATAAGAAACGACTTAATATTAATACTACAGGTATAATATTTAGAGGTGTATAATTAAATTACTTTAAATACCTAGATGTTAAATTGGAATATATCCAAAAATTAAAAAGTGCTTAAAAATGTGACTCGAAATTTGATATAGTCAGCTTCAAAACAAAAGGTAAACAATTGGTGGCTGTGGAAGTACAGAATTAACATATATGCATTTTTTTTTGTTAAAATCCCTCCCAATATTTTATTATGTGACATATTTTCTTTATTTGTTCGTTAAAAAAAGATTAATATATTTTACCTATTTTATCTATAAATATTATAGAATGTTTAAGGCCACAAATCTTAAATGTCTTATCACACATAATATGCATGTTTAAGACCGTAAGTTTTATTTATTTTTTTTTTACTCAAATTTCGTATCGAGTTAAACTATATCACATAAATTGAAAGATTAAAACTAAAAGAATATAAGTTTGGTGAGTCCTGAAATAGTAAGGCATCTTGTATATTAATGGGTGCTGACACCAGTAGTAGAAGATTATAGATGTTGACCAACCTACTCTTGGATTTTATGTTAAATTTTCATCTACAACAAATTGTAAACGCCGGGCTTTTCAGCTACTAAAAACTAAAATAGCTGAATTCATTTGCTAGATTGGTGGGTCATCGCTAATCTTAGGTCGAGGTTGCCTTCTTGAAGGTACGGGCAAGTAGGGGTAAGGTCTGTGTATATACTATCTTCCCCAGACACCACTTGTAGAATTATACTGAATTTTTATTTTTTTATTGTTGTTGTTGTTGTTGGATCATCGCCAACCATAAAAATACATTAAATCTTTTTTTTTTTTGGTTTTTTCCTTGTTTTTTTCCTCCTTGGCTTTCATTATTAAGTTCGAAACCTCCTTGGCATATCCAAAAATGCTTTCTAAAAACAAAAATATTTTCCTACGAATTATTTCCGGTATGAGAAACTTATGTTGCTCGAATTCTCAAAATATGTGGTTGGATGTGTGTTGGATCCTTCCTAGTAGTACATTTTTTGTGGATTCAATGCAATTACAATAATATTTTTGGATAATCCGAACAACACAACTAGAAACCATAGAAAAAATAAAGAGTGACCGAATCCTCCATGGCTTGTCGGAGTATAAGATTTTATTCGGTATTTATATATCACCAAGTATTTAAATATTTTTTTCGTTTAATCATCTGCTATTTTGTATTTATTAGTTTTAGCCAATCCAAGGAGATGCTTCTCTACTAAGGGTATCTCTATTCGGCAAAGGGTCAAATATACCCATGTACAATGAGAAAAGGTATAAATATACCCTTCGTTATACTTTGAGTCCAAATATACCTCTGTCGTAATACTAGTGGTTCAAATATATCCCTCTTCTGTTAAGTTTGTCCAAGGTGGACATCCAATCCTACGTGGCAATGCCACCTCAGAGCCCCTAATATATATATATATA